GTTCTTCTCAGCTGAAATCTGCTGATCCTGGCCTTTAGTGGCAGGATTTCTATCAGTCTTCTGCCCTTCTGAGCTCTGATCAGAATCTCCCAAATAGAACAGCCTATGGCATTCCACTACTACTCTTTGAGGTGATATCTCTGAACCTTTCCAAATTCTTCCCATAACGCATTCCCAAAGGCTCTTGAGCCACGTGGTCATGTAGAGTTACAGCAATGACCCCACTTTTCTGGAAGCAAATTCTGTCTTAATTACTTTTCTTTTGTTGCTCTTTAGTAGTACACCTCCCATCACGTACTTCCTCCAGCTAGGCTCAATCACTCAAAATTTCCTCCATCACCCAATAGTACATTAAATTAAGAATCGATTAGTGCATTAATCCATTCACACTGTCAGAGGCCTCTTCATCTATTTAGTTCCCAGAAGCCCTGCCCCTGAATACCACAATAGTGGGGATCAAGTTTTTAGCAAATGGGCTTTTGAAGACTTTTAAAACCTAAAACATAACATTCCCTCTTTTTAAAGTTCCTGCATCACTTTCTGGCTTGCATCTATTGCTGGCTCTCCAATCTCTCCAACTACTTTTTTGTTCACCTTGTCTCTTTCACTTTTGTAAGCTTCTGTCATACAACCCCATCACACTTCTAGAGAACATAGGAATAGCTGTAAAAAAAAAATCTGTTCTTGGTTTAGCAACAACCCTACTCTTCACTCCTTTGAACAAAATGTCCTCCCTTCCCTTTCAGCGAGGTTAAGTAACCTCCATGAGAGCTTTCATCTATCTGTGCCAGCGTGAATTCTCATTTCATTGTCTTTAGTCTTAGCCTTGTTTAATACCCACAGGCCTTGCCTGAAGCCATTTTGAATAAATTTCTGAAGATTACAGCTGACAAAAATCTGAAATACCTATTTCTGAAATACCCACTATGCATGCAACAGGATTGGCTTCTGCAAATACTTAGTTCATCGATTTAGCTCCCAGAATCCACTTAACTGTGGTTTATTTGTTTAATATTATAATGCTCTCAGATGTACATAAACCATCTGCTTTTCTTCTGGATTCCACGAGCCCTGTTACATTAAGCATCTGTAAAGTGATTTCACTTTGTCATGAAGGATGAGAATGTGCTAATGTAAATACCAATCAGAAAGCTTGAGTAGTTTTAAAAAATTTTTCAGAAATGCTTTTTGCTGAATTATTAATCTGGATTAGCCTATTTTAGGTACAATTTCAGAGTATCATCAAATTCTCACTCCAATATTTAGATCACAGGTAACAAATTTAATAACTTGAGTTAATATCCAAATTGTGTGGGCTTAATTTATGATTTGCCTGGTTTTGCTGTTTAATTTTCTGAACTGTTGCCATTTGAGAAAAATGTAAGAATGTAGAAGTCTGACTGTCATGAGAGAAAATGCTGCCTTCCTTCATAAAAGGAAATCCAGATTCTCCTCGCAAGTTAGCACAAAAAGGGACTCTCTCATGGCTCACTTCATGATGATGCTTTCTGGAATGTTCCTGCTCATCTGAGAAGCTGTGAGTGTTCCCTCTGTAGCTCTTGCACTGCTAGTATAAGTGCAAAAGAACTTCATTAATAAATTACTAACTTGAATTTTCCTGAAGAGATAGTATGAGGAAAGTAAAAAATCTTTACTTTTTGGGCTATAGTCTCTACCCACCCAGTCTTTCCCAGAGGCAACCAGTATAGCTCATTTCTTTTAGATTATTCCTGAGATGTTTGGTAGTTAGATAAATGATCATATCCTTTCATACCCATTCCTATCCTTTCATACGCATAGTGTGAGGCTGCATATACCATTACATATGGATTTTTTCTTTATTCTGCTTTGAAAACCCACTGCTGTAAAGAGTTCCTCATTCTTTCCTAATGGCTACAAATGACCCATTGCCTGGCAATACTAAAATTCTTTAGGCATTTTATATAAACAGAATTTGGGGAGTTTCTAAACTTCTCTTACTACCAAAATGTTTCACTGGAAACAATGAATAACTTCTTTGCATACATGTTACCATACCTTATGGACAACTTTCTAAACATTGTTGAATTCAAGGGTATCTTTAATATTAACAAATAGTGCTAACTTTACACTAATATCCCAACTTATTCATTTCTAAAGTAACAAATAAATGAAACAAAAGTTTACCAAAAAAACCACTTTGGAATATTAAGCACATAAATCATCAATTTAAAATTAGCTACCATAGTTTATGAATGTTATGGTTTATATTTAAATGTTCCCTGAAACCTCATGCACTCTTAGGTGGAGCTTTTCAGAGGTAAGTGGATCCAGGGTATGTGAACATGGATGAAGGGTATGTGATGACTACAGGAGCCTACTGATTGGTTTAGCACAGTCCTGAGTGTGGATAATGGAAAGATCTACCCTGGGTCTGGGTGGCACCAACAAACAAGCTTCTATCCTGAATAGAACAGAAGTGAAAGGGAGGATCAGCACCACTGCTTGCTTCCCCCCCGTCCTGCCATCCACTGTTTCTCCTCTGTGATTTCCCTCTACCATGTTACCCTGTGTTGGAGGCATCAAACTATGCACTAAAATCTCAACAAACTGGGCTAAAATAAAACTTTCCTCCTTTAACTTATGAATATTATCCATTGGGTGCTTACAGTGGGGAAGTAATTTTGGTTAAGGAGTTATGGCTTATTCTTTAGAGTGTGTTCTATTGGAGAAATGTTTCTCTTTCTACTTCTCCACTTGATTTCATAGAGCAGAAATTACCTCATTCAGGTAGGGCAGTTGTTTTTTTCTTCCTCATCACCATCAGCTGTGGAAACCTCTCTAATCCAGAGGTTAACACAAAGATGTCTTACATGTCACAATTCAAGGAATGGAAAGCTACCAACATTCTCTTAGCATAGTATTTCCTGTACCACCATCCTCTGAACTTGGCCTCTAGTCTAACCAGAACGAATTTCACAGTCTGAGTGCAAGGGGTTTGTGGATGGCAAAAAAATTGTCATAATAGAATATGTGTTGGTTATATTTTATTTTTGTTTTTCTTTCTGGGCCACAGCTGAGTTCTATTTTTCTGCTTTCCTTGCAGTCTGGTGTGGTCCTCTCACTATGCTCCAGACTGAGGAATAGGGACCACTTCCAGGCCTGGCCGCTAACACACTGCCTGTGTTCATGCCCTTTCTCTCTCTCTCTCTCTCTCTCTCTCTCTCTCTCTCTCTCTCTCTCTCTCTCTTCCTCTCTCTCTCTCTCTCTCTCTCTTTCTCTTTTTGTGCACATCTGGAAACAAAAGACTCCAAGGCTGGAGGTGAAGATGTTTGCTGTGTAGTTAGGCCAGTGATGGGAACACTCTGTCCCATAAAGACTTGTCCAGTTGAGGAACTCTAAAAGGATTTCCTTAATGAGATGTGCAGTCTTCTTTTATTTCTCACCACCCAAATGACAAAGATGGCATCAAACACTATTAGTGCTGATAATTCTGTTTATGTAATTCTTCATTAGAGCCCTTCAATGTAGCCATTTAAGATGATGCTAGATTTTGGGGAAAAACACTTTTTGGAAGCCAATTTAATAAAATGACTTCTGTATAACCTGGGAGCAGAAATGTCTTTTGTGATTGAATTTCCATTTTTCAATATGCTAATATTAGATTATTATAGATTACAGTGGGCTAAACAAGCACATAATCATTCTGCATTGAGACTGGGGTATTCTCAATAGGTTAAGATGGCAAAAGCAGGTAGGAAGGAAATTAAATGAAATTTCTTCTTAAGAAGACTGCAGGACTTAGCTCTTTGCCAACAATTCTGCTGCTAAAGATACATGAAGTTCCTGGTATCTGCTGCCCAAAGAGATGTCAAAGAAGTGATTAGACTTAGCAACTGATGAAGACCTTATGCCATCTAGTGGTTTTTCTCCTGAATAAACTTTCAACTTTGACTTACAAAGCTTGAAGAGTGAGGGCTCATTACAATTCCCAGAACATGCCCTTCTTTCATATCTTGCTCTTCTCTGAGATCAGAAACCTTTTGGAAGGTTCTTTACATCACAGATTTCTCATTCTTCAGGCCTCATTTCAGAGCCTGCTTCCAGAAGGATGAGTCCTCTGGCCATTCTGTTAAGGGTAAGCTCCTATCATCCCACAGTCATTACTTCTAGTCACATGGCTCTGTTAATTTTTGTGGCATGTATCATGATATTGCTTACTGCTTTATGCTGTTTACATTTCCTGTATTATTCATTTACTTTGTATTACATCATTTTCCTATGACACATTGCTATCAGAATTTATTTGCATTTATTTATTTGAAATTGGAATACTCTGTGAAATAGAATGTTATTCTTGAATCAGAGCCAAGCTAATTTTCTCTGTATCATTCAGTATGTATCTATGTGATGTCTCAGCAAATACAGTAATTTACTCTTAATTTTTTATTGGCTTATTCCAAGTTCACATCGAGCTGGTCGTTCTGTATGTACACTATACAGAGAATCAAAAGCTGAGTACAGTGGTGCATGCCTAAATTCCCAGCCACTTGGATGGTTGAGGCAGGAGGATTACAAGTTCAAGCTCAGCCTGGGTAATTTAAAGATGTGGTGAGATCCTATCTCAAAAAATAGATAAAATTTTTAAAAATTAAAAAGGATGTAGGATACAGTTCAGTGTGAAAGTCTCAGGTTCAACCCTTAGCTCCAAAAGATAATGAGGTCTTTGAATTGACCTGAAGATGAACTCCAAAGCCTAGTGCCTGGCACATTATAAAGGTTTAATAACTGAAAAACTCAGTGCAAAATGCGCGCATGCGCGCGCGCGTGCACACACACACACACACACACACACACATACACACACACAGAAAAACCCTACTTGTTTAAAAATTAAATAAATAGAAGTGCATCATGAGTCTTGGTGAAATTTGCAGGATCCTAGAGAAAGAAAGAGGTGCTAGAAAATTAAAAATGAATCATGTCATCAACATCGTTTTCAAAATATGCAACAAAGTAGATTTCACATGTCACAAATTATATATTTAATGGGAATCCCAGGAAAGATTTCAAGATATAATTTATAATATCTTATAAAAACAAACGATGCATACATACACAAGGGGAAAACAAAACAATAAGATAAACTATTTGTCTTTATTTTGTTCATAAATAGATGTTCTCAGATTAGACTACATTTTAATCTTTGATTGTGGAGACCAGAACAAAATATTTGTAATATTTTTAGTTGCCTTGTTTGTATCTGTGAGGGAATATGTAACTATGTTAACTTTCCATTATTATAACAAATACTTTACATGAATCAATTTTTTAAAAAGTGGATTATTTTGGATTTCAGTTTTGTAGGTTTTAGTCCAGGATTGATGATTTCAGACCTCTGGTGAGGTAGTACACCACTGTAGAACTATATGGACCAAAATCCTTTACCTTATGGCCAGAATGAGAAGGAAGGAGGAAGAGAAAGGGAGCAGGGTCCTGGTACCCCTTTTGAGGACACCCCCCTAATGGTCTATGACCCCAAAGCAGACCTCATAACTTCAAGTTTCTACTAACACCCAACAGAATCATGGACTGGGCCATAAATACATTTAAGTTATAAATAAATTATAACTGTCGCTAAAATATTTCCCTCATTTTTCATAAACATAGTTATACATTTATAAAAAATTATAAAAGCATATAGGAAGTGCCCATGTATCTTACCCTACCTCTACCCATTATAGTATGAGAAATCCATGTTGAGTTGTCAGCAATTATATCTTGATTAATTTATTAACTATTCTTGAGATTAGAATTCTAGTATAAATGATTCATAGCAGACGTTAAATGTTATCTTAAAGGATGACTAGTGGGATTCTGCTGATGGTAATGTGATTTTGTTACCTAGTCGGGGTGTGCAGGCGGGCATTTTATGGTCAGCAGACCTAAAGGTAATAAAGTTACAGTGAGTAGACCTCTGGAGAAGGGGCAGCATAGCAACAGGCAGGGATGGAGTAAGAGAAGGATTGGTGGAGGGCAGCCAGGAAAGTGAATTAAGAATGACTATAGATAGGCTCCTGGGAATGTGAGACTTACTTTAATTGAACATTTCTTTTCTGTGGTGTAATCCCTTAATTTATCACTAAACCATGGAAGTGTTGTTTGTTTTCACTTTTCTTGAACACGGAAAAGAGAGTCTTGATTTCTGTCTTGGAAGAGCCAGGCTGGAGTGTGCTGCCGAGGCATGGAGGTGTTAGGAAAGTTAGAGTAGTTGGCGGAGAAACTCTGGGCAGCTGTCTGCAGGGAGCAGAGACAAGACAGCAGGGTGGGCTTGTAGAACATTTAAAATCTCTTTAAGGGTGTGTGAAAGGTCTCGGGGAAAGGACTAGGCTGTCAATAGTCATAAGAACCTGAGCCTTTTATTTATTTATGAATAGAATGGTAAACCCTTAAACTCTGAAGAGTGCAGAGACATACAAAATGCATGTCTTGTCCAAGTTTAGTATAATTAATATATACTACAAAGTGAGGATCTCTTAACCAAAGTGTTTAATATTTTGAAATATTTGCATTCATATAAAAAGATATTTTGTGGATAGCACCTAAGAATAAACTTAAAATTGATTTATTTTATATGCATCTTAAACACATGGCCTGAAAGTAATTTTCTAAATTAGTTTTAGTAATTTTGTTGATGAAAGTATGGAATTTTAGACTTGTGATGTGACGTCAGTTCTCAAAAAGTTTTACATTTGAAAGCATCCAGAGTTTAGATTTTTTAAAATTAGGGATGTTTGACTGTTTGACCTGTATAATGAAGAAAACCATACTGAAACAGTGGTCTTTTTCTACTTCAATGTACAGTTTTATTCAGATTTGAAAAGAATATTACTTGTAACTTACTGTTAATTTATTCTGAATCAAAATGATCAGAAAGACATAAAAATGTATGTAAATTCTATTAAATAACACTTTCTTGTCACTTTAGAATGAGTATAATATATTGGTATTATATGCACAAAACATGTAAAAAGTAATTGTGAAAGTATCATTACCTGTTTGTGTAAGAAAAAAGACATTCATTTTTTCCAGAAGCTATCAACATCATATAAGATAGTTCCTGAAAAAATACAGTTTTTTCAATTTACCCAGCTGGTAGCTCATAAATCTATAGAAAGAAAGTTAACATACAGTGAAGTCACTACACAGTGCTATGGGACAGTAGAAATGCATATCAGTACAAAACGCCACTCAGGATTTTTGCATTGAGTTCCAGTGTCAAGTTTGAGATATCTTGGTTGGCAAGAAATCTAAAAATTATTGAAGATTGAAAGATTATTTTAAAAGTCTTCTGGTAAAAATGTTAACAGTGTAAAAACAGGTGCAAACAGACCGAAGTAGTCTTTCTGTGCTGTTAGCAGCAGATTTCTGTCTTTGAAATATGAGGAACTGCTTTAGGTACTTTCATGATTTTTCCAGAAGATGGCAGAATTGGTATTACAACCAGAAGAAAAATTCAACAGTACTGTCATTTCTGCATTCAATAAGAATGGTAACCAGATTGTCAGAAACCTTAACAAAGAAACATCTATCTATTACTTTCCAATTATACTATAGTTATATGGGGATCCACTTTGGGCACTGTTTTTTTGTTGTTGTTGTTGTTTGTTTTGTTTTGTTTTTCTAGTGAGTTTCCTTTTATTTATTTGTGCTGGGTTTTATTTAAACAATAACAAATCAAACTAGGCCCTAGGGTTCGGCTCTCAGATCACCATCAATTTAACAAAAAAATAACTTTTGGCATTGCTGAAATAGCTAGTGATGGTAATTGTTAGGAGTTACAGACGAGCTTTCTTGAACACAAATTCAAGACAGATTTAGTATAATGTGCACATGGACAATTCTTTCTTCTCAGCTTTTCATGACTCCGAATCTGGAATAAGAAAAGTTCTTATGTCCCCCATCAAGGTTCTGCTTTTGTAAATCACTATCAGGCATTTGCTTAGAGCTTCAGCTCTTCACCACTGTACTGTGCAGCTCCCCGAGGGGAGATGCTGTTATTTTGCTTTGTATCTCTAGTGCCTACACCATGAGTGACACAGTAGGCTTTTGATAGCATTATGGTGAAAGAAAGAAGTGGTGGCAGCCATATCTTGCCCATCTAACACATAGCATGGCTTGAAAGAATTCATGGAATCTTGTTTCAACCATGAGGCTGGTTTACCAAATGGTAGTAGTTACCTGTAGGGGAACTTTCATATCAACAGTGTCATCTGGGCAAATCAGAATTATCTATAAATGATGAGGAAATGTAAGCAACTACTATCAACAAAGCAGCTAACAGATCAAAAATGCAACAAGAAGCAACTCTGTTTTAGTGGATGTTGGCAAGATATTGTGAATCTTGGAGAAAGCCCAACACATGCATGCTTTCTGTAAACATGTCACTTGTCTGTGAAATATCCCAGGACTCTGAGATTTTGCAACTGAAAAGAATCAGTGCATTTTTCCAGAAGAAACAATTTTCTAATCTATAGATGGATGAAAATTTATGAAGATGTGGGGTGAATCCAGAGAACTAATATCAGGGCCCATAATCTTTTTCTTTTGTCTTTTTTTTTTCTTTTCCTGCCATGGGTAGGATACAGTGCCTTGTGCATGCTACCCAATTGCTTTACCATGAAGCTATGCCCTTAGCCCAGAATCTACAATTTTGAAAATTTGTTCATTTTTCTCTCAATGATAGCTTCTCAGTGTGCCATGACTCCTACTCAGAACACTTCTAGACTACATCTAGGGTATTACCTATGCTTTGCCTTTTTAAATACTCAAACGCCTTTTTAAAAATTGTTTTGGGGAGACAGTCTTCCAAAAATAAATAATTTTCAACCTAATTATTTAAGATAATGTAACAATCAGGGGATACTACATTTTATTGTGCAGGTTATACAGGAAAGATCAGTGTCATATTTAATGGGTTTCCATTCAAACTGTCAACATTTGAAATCTTTATGGTTATCAGAAAAAAACATTTTTAGCAGATAAAAGTAAAGCATCCTAATTAAATAATAGCTAATAATTAGTATCATTTCAAGGCATATTAAAGCAAAGTAGCTTGACAAAGCAGTATCTGTTCCTAATTCATACAAATAAAATTTGTAATTGATAAATTGAATTCATCATAATATGAATAAAATGATATTTTGTCAATCAATAGTGTTGTCTCATAGGCTCTTAGTATATTTGTTTTACTTTACATATCCTCATACAACTGTGACCTGGATTCTTATATTAGTTTTTTCTCTGTGTTCTTTTAGTTATAGACAGTGTTTATTACAGGCATTATTTTTGCCCGTTTCATACAACATATATATTTCTTATTTTCTGCTTGCAGCATATTATTTGCTTGGAAACTACCACCCTGTGCTACTCTAGAGTTATACATTGATTAAGAATAAATGTAAGTTAACAAACTTTCTTGTGAATAAAATTCTGGAGTTTAAGAGGATGATTTCATAAAATCTATTGGAATAGTCAGCAGTCTTTTAATTTTTTTTTTTTGTTTCTCAGTTCTATCAGGGACAGATGAAGTTGTCAGGTAGCAGAGTTCTTGTCATGTTAAGGCTCTATTAGAAACATTTAAAGGTAAATACAACTGGAAAGACCATTTTTTTAGATTTGTTTTCCTACCATGGCAGAAATCCCTTCGTGCTTTTAGATCACAGCTCTGAATTCTCATCTACAAGTTACTCCCAAAGGATGAAAAATAGCTTTGTTATTCAGTCTGAGACATTTTGCTTTAGGAACTAATATGGATATTAATTCTCTTCATGTTGGATTTCTCCCTAAGAATGAAAAAGTGTTTTGAAAGTGCTAACACCCACATTTCCTTTGAGTTGTACAGGAAGAAAAACGGATGTCTCTGTCTTTAACAGAAAATGAGATATTTTTATTGCAATTATCACTGATGCTAATAATACTCAGGTCTTCTAGCAACATCTGTCACATGACATTTCAGATTTGCAGGAAAATTTTAATGAAAACTTTCCATTTTCTTAAAAAGTATAATTATTATGTGGTACCATATTTATAGATATGGAAATGTGAGACTCTGGTAGATTAAAATCAAAGAAGGTTGATGGCCATGGGTCCTGAAATACCTGAGAAGAGAATGAAATAGGACTAGGATTTTGTCTTCTCAATCCTCCTCAGAAACCACTACCCTTTTGACAAGATTAACGAGACCTGTGTGACTCAATGCCAGAAGTTTTAGAGTGAATTTTCAGGCCTCAAACTGCAGAAAACTTCACAGAAGGCAAAGGCCAAGGTATTTGACTGTCTGGGTGAACTTTACTTTATGTAAGTTCTCTTTATCATTATCATGCCTTTTCTTTGTATGCTAAGTTTTATTGATTTTTAAAAGCCAATCACACTAAGCAAGGAGTTTGAAAATAATAAATGGAACTAATGAGCTTTGCTTGTTCAAGAAACAAATTAAGCGTAAGAGTCGCTCAAGACGTCATTCTCTAAAGGTATTTAAGTTGTAACCCCATACACTATATTTTCTATAAAAATGTCATACCCAGAAAATATTCTTTAAATTTAGAAACATGACAAAACTGCAGAGCGATAGAACTTAAGTATTTATGTATATTGGCTGGATAAATGAATTGAATAATGGAAATTTATAATAAAACCCCTGGACAATACAAAGGCAAGGCTGCATGATACATGCAAGTTTTAATGAAGAAGTCAAAAGCCAATTCACACATACAGTATTGTATATTTGTGTTATCACTATACAGTTAATAGTAATAATTACAAATATCAGGTTCTTGATTTTATATAGAATAGATTATCCTAATAAAACTGCTGCTATTTTAGGTTTAAGTTAGATTTAAGAAGCCAGAAGAGAGATGGACATGGTGGTCCATGCCTGTAATCCCAGTTCTCTGCAGGACTCAAGTGGGATGATAAATTTGAGCCCAATTTGGGCAACTTTGAGCAACACCCTATTTCAAAAATTAAAAAAAAAACAAAGCAGTTCAGTATGAAGACCCTGAGTTCAAGCCTTAGCACTGAAAAAAAAAAAGGAAAGAAAAAGAAAATGAAAGAAAAAAATATAAAACAAATAGCTGGACACAAGGGCTCATGCCTATAATTTCAGCTAAGCAAGATGTTGAGGCACAAAGATAAAACATTGGATGCCAGCTAGGGCAACTTAGTAAGACATGTCTCAAAATGAAAAAAACACAAAAGGCTCAGAATATAGCTCAGTGATAGAACAACCCTGAGTTCAATTACCAGTACTGGAAAAAACACAAGCAAAAAGCAAGCAAGCAAGCCAGCAAACAAACAATCTGAAGAATATTGCTTGATGAGAGAAAGTAAACACCAAGGACCTGGCCAAATTAGGTTTTTCGGCAGGTCCCTTCGTCGTAAACCTTTAACCTATCAATCACATGAATGGATTAACGCACTCATGAAAGTAGAGCTTGAATTCTTTTTTGAAGAATCCTCTTCTTAGTGTCTTGTGATGGGGATTAAATTTCAACATGTGATTCAAATCACTACATTCAAACCATAATGGCCACATGGTGCACAACAGTGGTGTTTAAGCACAAGTATCACACTCCATGAAGGAGATTCTCATGGCTGAATAAGCTATGGCACCTGGGGATAGATCTGGGTCAAATGCTTTGTGGATCTGGTCTCTCTACTCTGGCCCTCTCTGCACTTTGCATGCACTCTCTGCATGAGTTCTAGGTAAAATATGCCCTGACCCTCCACTCTCCAGCCTTCCTTCACTCCTCTGCCTTCTCCCTTAACCCCTTTCGCTCTTTTTCCTCTTCCTCCGTCACCTCAGGCAATCATAGGATTCACTTGGTGGGAAATCTATGTAATGAAAGCAACCTTAAGACAAACTACCGTGGCCATCTTGCTGTGTCTTGGTCATTACCCTGGAAAAGTGGTTGCACAAACAGGCTTTGTCATAAAACTGTTTGAGATTTAATTTCTAAATGTCTGCTTCTATGACTACAGAACCTTTAAAAGCAATATTCACTGGGGCAGGGAGATGAGGGATTCAAAACACGTCCAACTTATTCAGCAATAATGCTAAAGATGCACTTGTGTCCTCCTGAAATTTTTATTGCCCAGATAGTTTAATTTTACCTTGTTTTGTTTCTGTGTTACTAAAAATCTTGCCTTTTGCTACAGTGCTTGTGTTATTAGTTGATTTTTGTTCTAAAACTTGCAATTGTTTTGTTCTACTAAAAAACAACTGCAAAATAAATGAATCAAAGTCTCTTCTGTAAAAAACAATATAACTGTAACAACAATAAGAAACCAGAAGGGGAAGAGAGCAATTCTCTTTAAAAATGTTAGAATAAATGAATGTGTGAGGCAGTAAAAAGTGACTGTAAGCTATTGTTTACAAAATTATTTTCCCAAGAAAAAATTTAGAAGGACCTAATATATAGCAGTTAAAAGTAAGCAAACTTCATATTGACTGGCAAAAAGTCATTAAGAGGCTTGTGTAGAACACATGGAATAATATTTAAGCCAAAGTACAAAAATGATGGCAGCTAGAACCAAACTCTTCTATGTAAACAACCTTGATCTGACGGTTGAGGTCTTATTTACTCTGAGAAAACTAAGCAAAGAAAAAGAAAAGCAAAAACAAAAGACCAACGGAAGTTAACTCTGATGCTTGGATCCATGCAGAGGAAAGGTGAAGAGGACCAAGACAAGATAGGAGACTTGAGCCTGGTTGCCCCAGGTGAGGGCAACTCAGGTGAAGACAATCAAACTGCAACAAACAGCCAAGATTTGATTCAGATGAGACCTCATGCATCTAACTGCCAGCAAATGTAGAGGAAAGAAAGTTGATCTGAGAACTTGCCTAGCAAGTACCAAGGGACATGGAGCAAAGATACTGAAACTGCAGCCTGAGCCTTCTCAGCTGGATCCAGACAGAAGGGAACCGTGGAGGTCTTCTCAATGCTAAAACTTTGTCTTGTAGAGAAATAGCACAGTGTACTAGACATTTTATTTCTTTTAAATTCACTCCCTAAAATAATCATATATACTACTTAACATTTAAAGAAATAGATCATATGGTACCTTGTACTCATGTAATTGTTTAAAAAGAGGTATACTGAATTGTGAAAGTTGGTGGGTAGATGTAGGCATACTGAATAAACTATGGATCTTGTTAAATCACCAGTCATCGCTGCCAGATTTAGAGGCACAAGGTGTTAGGAAAATGTAACCAACACATTTCTGTGATTGAAATCACTTCATGGATATTGTTGAGTAAGCAGTAACTCAAATATTTATATTTTCTTTCTCTGTCTCTGTCTCTCTCATACATACACATAGCCTAGGAAGAACATACAATAAAATTTTGTTATGAAAATTTTTAGAACTTTCCTCCTTTGTATTCTTTCTTAGAAAAGATAAGTATTCATTTTACTCTAGCCAACAACATATACTTGAGGAAAAATAGATGAAGGGAGAAACAGGCTCAATTTTAACTGAGAGAAAATATCGGAAAAGGAAGAATCATATACTTGTATCCTATTCCTTACCTATCCAGCCCACCTTCCTGAGTGCTGTGTCTAGTAGGTATTTGCTGAGGTGAGTAACAAGGAAATAATGACACTTCTAGAGAAAAGCTCCTGAAAAAACAAGACTTTAACTGTTCTGAGCACAGAAGGATTACTTTATTATTTTAGTGGGGCACTGTGGACCAAGAGCATTATATTGGCTCATCAATTTTAGATTCAGTTTCAGGGGAGGAAAGCCAAAATATACTCTGCAGAGTTATAGGGAACATGGACGGATCATACTTAGATTTATTTTTCTTTTCTTTAAACTGTAAAGACTAGATATGGAAATAATATGAAGCTGAAATTCTCATTTCACAGACTAAGTAACTAAATCCCCTGTGATGTTGAAGATATATATGTAAATTTTGTATACTATATTATAATTAAAAGAAACAAAACTACTATTCTTATAATAAAAATTGATGCAAGCACTTTTATGACAAATTAATTTGAACTATGTGACAGGGACTACTAAGCATTCTTCTATACATATTTACTTTTCTTACTAAGAAATGAAGACTGCAATATTTAGATGGGGGCATGGTCATCAAATATAAAAGCAACAACTCTCAGTTTTCTTTAAAGTCTGAGCTGTACAGCGTTTTGATCAATGAACTGTAAGCAGAAGTGCTGCTGACAACTTTTGATCTATGTCTTAGACAGAAAGAAGAATCTTTCTTCCTTTTTCTCATTTTTTTTCACTTTTTTTTGGCTAGAATATGAAAGCAGTGACTGGAACTTACAACAATTTTGAGTCATGTTACCATCTTAAATATAGTAGCCCTCCAGGATGAAGCAACAAGAAGAGTTGTGGTCTTTGTCTCTCTAGGAAACTCATATCTAGTTCTTTGCTAATTTCAGAATTTTAAAATATGTAGGAGTAAGAGCTTTATCTTTTTAAGCCACTGTATTTTCTCTCACTTGTAAATAAAACAAATATTAACATAGACTGACAAGATTGTCCACCAAAAGAACTTTGAGAAGAGCCAGATAGATTACTGTTTTCTTTAATCTGTTTCTTAATAATTTTGTAATGGAAAATGATTTAATGCTTCCTGTTAAAGAAAAATAAAAACATAGAAACTTGAGTTAAGAACTGACACTGGCAAATCCAAATGAGATCCACTTTGAATTTTGGACTCTGTCGTATCTAGCTCTCTCCTCCTTCTTTTCCTTTTCATTTGTTACTGTCACTTTTTCTCCTTTGCTTCCTCCTTTTGTTCTGTGTTCTATTATTTTACTTTCTTTACCTAACTTACCTCTCAATTTCAGTCAAACTGTATTTTGGATTCTTTGACTATTTGAGTTTTTAAATGTTTAGTACTTAACATGGTTCTTTTGTCATTTATCTACAAGTTAAGTGAAAGATGATTAATTTTTTTTCATCTGACACCAAAGTTTTTACAAATGACACCATTTAAGAAGGGTAACAGCTGAGCATGTGGCACATGCCTGTAATCCAAGTATTCTGGGAGTCTGAGGCGGGACGATTGCAAGTTTGAGCCCCATCTGGGTGACATGGAGACTGAAAAGGACCTTGTCTCAAAATTTTAAAAAATGGAGTAAAAATGAGCTAGGGAAGTAATTATGTGAAGACCATTGGTAGAATCCTCAGTAGCACACACAAAAATTTTATTCATTTGCTAAAAATGGTATTTTCCCTTAGTATGAATAAACTTTTTCAGGCAGAAAGTTTCTCAGTGTTAAAGGATAAATTATTTGTAGTTTTCCCCACATCGCTTGGGAGAAAGCTAATATTACACTATGCTAAAACATCAACTTAGAATATCTGAATTCTAATAAACAACATTTTCTGTGAGTTACTTATTACAATAACTCAGAAATGATAAGTGAGCATTTACTATAAAAACTAATTAGTCAGGTTTTCTTTATAGAGCATCCACATTTTGGGGGCACCACAATTTTTAAAATTAATGATAAAATGAAAGTTTGTTTATCCTTGACAAGATTCCTTTCTAAATTAAAAAGATTTTAAAAAAGCAATTTTGTTTTTTGTCTGCTTCTTAATTTAAGATACTCATGATGGTTTTCCTCAGCTTTGTCTTTTGTATATTTTAGCCAGTTCTAATGAAGAGAAATTCCACTCAATCAGGACGGTCTCATTCATTAAGTGAGACATCTGGAAGCCTTGACATATTTTGTTAGCTTCAGCCACTTAAAGGAGGCTGGTTCCCTTACTGAGGTCTATAGGAATAAAAGAGCTTATATTTCCAGGCAGAAAAAGACAAGGAATCAATATTTTTCTAGAACAAGATGTCAGGTTATTCAAAACAAGTGATCAAATTGTTTTCAAAACAAATGAGCCTAGGTTTTGTTCTGAGGACACATCTTTTCATATTCTGAGAAGACAGGAGTAGATTCTTGAGGACATAGTCATTTGGAGGTTTTTATAAGAGATACTTGAGAGTTGTCTGATATAGTCCCTTCTTTTTTTTTTTTTTTTTTTTTTTTTTTTTGGTCTTTTTCGTTTTTATTGGTACCAGGGATCGAACTCACGACTGCCTGCTTGCAAGGCAGGCGCTTATGCCGCTGAGCTAAATCCCCAGCCCCTGATATAGTCCCTTCTAAATTTAAGATATTTTCTCTTTCCTGGAAATTTCTTGGCCTTCTCCATAAGTCTCCTGCTTAACTTTTTTATTATTTATTCATTTATTTGCTTTTAAACAGGTTTGGAGTTTCTAATAGATAAGAGAGAAACTGGAAGCATCCCTGTTTCCTGGGTGTCACACAATATCAGCACAAGACCCTTAAAAAGGATATTACTCCACCAAGACTGCAGTACAGCCTGGGGAAAAGCTGGCTAAAGTTCAGGAGATTTAAGGCCGAGATTGCTCAAAGAGGGAAAACCATTGGTCTTGTATTTTCCCTTCCACGTTCTACTTGCATTGGGTGACGAGGGGCAGAGGGTGCCTTCTCTTCTGCTGTAACTGGGCCCTTTGTGAAAAATACTCTAGAGCTTCTTAAGAGGCTAAGATTCTGATAAATGAGTGCAGACACACAGTTGTACTGATCAAGCACACAATTTCATATGGAGAAGCCAAGATCTGGGCAGAACACACATGTGGTGAACACGTCCTTAATCTGTTGGCTACGCACAGGGCAGAGTGGACCTGCTAAAACAGAAGGCAAAAGTAAGTACTGGCAACCCTCACTTCTGTGTGGCGGCAACCAGAGAGCACCATGTTGGAACCAGTCAGATTACTGGGTAAGTGCCAGATGGTACTGCGGAACTCTGTCTTTATCCCTTTTTTGATAGGTGAGCAGAGCCACTGAAGAATAGCTAGAAAGATGAGAAGCAGTGAGAAGAGAAAAGGTGAGGAGGTAAGAGGTTGAATACTTGATCCTGGTTAGTGGCAAATTTTCCCGAACTTTATAAAAATTATTATATGTTGCCAGGGTTAAAAGCTGAAAAAACTATACTTTCATTACTTAAGTGAATAAAGATTAAATATAAAAACACTCTATATTAAGTATTTGACTATAGTGCATGTTCACTGAAAAATCACTAGACCAGAATAATGTTTGAAAATTGTTTTGTGAAATGTTAACCATATTTTTATTTTTGTGTGTATGTAATGACATGACAGTTTAAAATATTTAAATATTAATTTTATCTGTCATTAATTTTGTACAACTTTAATTTTTATTAGCTTTTAAAATAATTTGTACTAGTTTTGGAATTAAAAGTTATTTTTAATTAAAATGTAATTTTTCATTTTTATAATTCTGCAGAATTTAAACATGGGCAATTTTTCTACCACTTTTTAGGAAACAGAAGAATTTGGTGTTCTTGTCAGTTTTCATGGCCTAGTGAATCACAGGTTCTCCAGACTAGCCTGACTTAGTTCTTTGGCAGCACTGATAGTAACCATCCTTTTCAATTGTGAAATATTTCACAGCTTATAGATTTTTAAAATATTTGTCATCAAACGCTTGCCTCACCAGAAGACTGCTAAGATACCACACCTACCCCAACACCACAGCAGTAAATGAGGACTCGAATTTCAATTTTTGCCCTCCCTCCATTTTTGCATTGGCTTCAGGTTCTTGGTCCTCCATACAAAACCAAGGCTCTGGACCAATGCATCAAAGCCCCAATGATTGAGTACCTGAACTACAGAATGGCAGCTTAGATTTCCCCATTCTCAAGGTGCTAGCACTTCTTCATTGGATACCATTTGACAGAAGGACACAATCCAGAGGCCAGTGGGAAATGACTCACTGGAAAGTCCACTGTTGTGAATTTGGAAGAATCAGGGAAAACTTTGTAATACTAAGTTTTAATTTTTCAGAGTCCCATGAAATCCAAAATTTCCAGAAAGCAATAAGAAAAAAAAATCTATGTATGTACAAATACTTGCAGCAACTTTAGGCCATTTATAGACTTTTTGAGGGGCACGGACCAACTTACAATCTGTACTAAATCGTGCACATTTGCTCAACTCCGGAACTTCATTTTGGTTGATATACCAAGTGAACAAAACTTACTTTCACATAGGAAATAACAATTGAGGGATATAGAAAAAAGCAGAAAAAAACCCCATACAGTATATTGAGAAAAGACAAAATGGTAAAACAGCACATTGGTTGTCCAGATAATGTGGGAATTAATTAGAAAGAGGACATAATGAAGTCTTTTTTAAAGTGATAGAAATGTTATATATTGTGACTGAGACATTGATTATATGAGTGTTTACATATTTCCAAATTAATCACATTCTATCCTTAACATCTGTGCATTTTACCCCATGTAAATTTTATGTCAATTAAAAAAAAAACACAATTACATTGTGTTATCAAGACCATCCTTTTCTCCACAGTATCATTTCCTTTGTTATTGGGAAGGGGGAGGAGAAAGAAAAGTTGATGTAGCTCAAATGCAAACGTTTTCTTTAAAGTGTTTATATAGAACTCAGCAGTAATTTAATGCTCCTTCAAATATATACAGAACAATTTCTGATTATAGATAAATGGTTGTGATTTTTGTCTGACAGGCTGTCAGCTGTCTTCTGGTCTGACATCAGTGTTAGGAAAGGGATAAAGAGTAGAATATATGGGCCTTGGAGATACACATAGTCACTTCAAAGGAAAAAGGAGTTCAACTAGTCATTTTACTCTTTCACACACTTTTTTTGTTTTTTCAAAACACAGGAAGAACAATAATGTCATGTACGGCTCTGAAAATTAGGTTGCCATAATGCTGTTTGGGTTTTGAGAAGGCAGGAATGTTTTGCTGTGTACGGTTCAGTTTTCCACAGTTAATAAGAAAGCTGGATCCATCATTTGTACCATGTTCTGTCCTGGGATCTGCCTCTGGATCTGGTGATCACAGGCAGTGTCTGACAAGGTGGGTCCACCTGGCCTACTGTAACATCAGCAGTCGGCAGCACTGCACACCTCAAGCAGCACACATACTTATGGGTCTCTTAAAAATGACCAGGTTTCCATAGGCTTTTTTTTTTTTTTTTCATTTTGCATGCCTCACATTAATTGTTAAAAAAATTAAAAACCATTTTTTTTTTTTTTTTACAATTTACAAGTTTTCATATAAGAAGAAAATGACTAAAAAAATACCCACCCAAGCACCTAGAACGCACCTAGCAAACAATGCTAATAACACATGGGCTGTGAGCTAAGGACTCCTCAGTGCCTGGGAAAGCAGAGAGGCAGAGTCTGTCCTTTGAAGGAAGGTGACACGTGTCGGATCCACCAAGGGCTGGCTGTCTGTGGTGCTTTGTTCCTTAAGTCAAGTTCAGCAGCTGCATTTCTGAGTCAATATCATTACTTATTTCGACCTAAAAAAGAAAATATGAATTGCTTTTAAAAAAACTTCAGCACTTAGGAATGGAAATCCTTTCTATTCATGCAGGCCTTTTCAAATGCAAAAGAGCTCCTGGGTGTGCCTTGTCTTGTCTGACTAGAGCAGAGGGCCTTCCGTGGGCAGGAATACTGGGCTTTCCTGCATTTTGATTAGAGGGTAATAATGAGGTGTCTGCATAGCTTTCGTTTCTTGGGAGGGAAAGGCCACCCCCACAGCAATTGTGGGGTAATATGAAATGGTTGCTATTGGTGGCCTCCAAGCTACTAGATACACACCTAGTCTAACCTTACTCCAGCATCCTCTTGGTTGACACTATAGTAGTCTGATTTTCATACCATTTAACTCCCCACCTACATCCCTCCTTCTCTTCCGGTGATAGTTAATATTATGTGTCAAGTTCGCTAGGTCACAGTGGCAGCTGAGTTTAAACATCTCCACGAAAAAACATCATTTAGATGATATTAGTATTTAAATTAGTAGTTGTTGAGTGAAGCAAATTTTCCTCTATAATGGGACTCATTTGATTAGTTGAAGGCCTTAAGAGGTAAAAACTGAATTGTCTTGTGAAAGGAGTTCTTCCTCCAGACCACCTTTGAACTCAAGTTGCAACATCAGTGTTTTCCTGGATCTTCAGTCCTAGCCTGACATGCAAATTTTGGACTGATCAATTCTGCAGTTGCAGGGGAGAATTCCCTTCCTCCCTTCCTTCCTTTTTCTGTCTGCCGGCCTGCCTGCCTGCCTGCCTGCCTGTCTGTCTGTCTGTCTCTCTCTCTCTCTCTCTCTCTCTCTCTCTCTCTCTCTTTCCACACACACACACACACACACACACACACACACATCCCTTTCCTGGTTCTATTTCTCTGGAGAGCCCTAACATACACATTTTGTGTGAAAACTCTTGTTTTCAAACTGTTGGCAAAGACTATGCATGTTCCTTGTCTTATACTAAGCATTAATCTTTTAGAATATGAAGCCTCTGAATTATGCATCTTTGCACAGTCATCCTCAACATAGTACCTGCTGTTTAGGTGCCCTTTTACTTAATAAATATTTGTTGAATACTTTAGCTAACATCATTTCATGTAATATCTTTGTTGATCCAAATCCCACTCACCTTTGAAGATTTACTTTTCTCCTGTGTGAAGACTTTTACATCTACTCAGCCATGATGATTCCTCACCCTGCTACAAACATTCTTCAGTGTTATCAGCAGTACGCTGTTTACAGCTATTAGTGTCCAGCTTTCAACTGCCTGTGCTCTAATTGTTTCAGCCAGCCAAGTTATTTTGCTCATTTTAACTAAATTATATACATCTCACCAGAAATTACTATTTTATACTTATTTTATGTCACCTTCTAGAAACTCCTTTCCACCCAGTTCAGTTTCTGTGGTCTGAAATGGACTTTTCAGTCATAATTTGAAATAGTTGAAAAGTTTCCAGTTTCATGTTCTGCAGCCACTCTTCCGACTGCACATCCTGTTCCCTCCTGTACTCACTAGAAGTCAAAGGCCTACCCCTTTCCGTCTCCCGTAACACTTCTGCTCTTCTGTTTCTCTGTGTTCTAAATGACAAGCCCATGTGTACCTCTGTGTATTTCACAGGGATTTAAATGGAAAGATAAAGGGATATGATTATCATGACAGAATTTTATAATTTTCTTTAACCTTTAAATTTAGTAGCCTGAAGTACATTTATTTACCAATGCACAGAAAGAAGTAGAGAAAGACCATAAATCTCTGATTAGTGTCATTCAGCTTTAATTATACTATTACTATACAAAATATATACTATTAAAGTTTCATCTTACATTACCACTTTTTTTGGCTAAGATATTTAAAACCAAATCTCAAATATTATGATATTTCAGTCACACCTATATGCATTTCTGACTCAGGATTTTTTTTAACTTTTTATTTTTGAGACAGAGTCTTGCTAAGTAGCTAAATGTCAGAGGCTGGGCTTAAGTTTGTGATCCTCCTCCTGCTTCAGTCTGCGAATATAGGCATGTTCCATCATACCCAGCAAACTGGGTGATTCTTAACCACAGAAAACTCACCCGTGTCTGAATGGAGATGGTTTTGTTGTTACAGTTTCATGGAGAGTGGTACTACTAGGGATCTATTAGAGAGAGGCTAAGAGTGCTGCTAAATATTCCAGCAGTGGGACTGGCCCACTACAAAGAATTATCTAGCTCAAAGAAAGTAGTGTAGAGCTTGAAAGCATCTAATCAACTGGGAAGAAATAAATAGCCAATTAATTTCTTAGAATAATTGAATATCTAGCTCATATTCACATTTCCCCAGCTGTCTGGAAACTTACCACTATGTTTGGCTTATTATCAGAATATAATAAGGTTTACAGTATTTTTGAGTACTATGAGATGTGATGAAAAATACAGTGAACATTTAAATTTTTAAAAACTTACTACAGTAAAAAGATGTGGTCATTAATAACACTGAAAATATTCTGTCTCAATTGAGACACACTTACTGCCATCATTCTGAAGTAATTTAAGTCTAGGGTCCTTTTATGTCTTTAGTGGTTTTGTGGCGGCTGCCTCAGTGTCCTAGATTAAAAACACTTCCTTCTCACAGTCATTTTAATTTCAAGGAAGAACCAGAAGTCACACAGGGCCTGATTTGGTGAATAAGATAGATGAGTACACAGTGTCATATTTTTATTTGGTAGAAACTGCTGAAATGTTTTGATCAATTCTACATGTCAAGCCAATCACAGAAACACACTCATAGGAGAGGATTTTCAGAACTGCTTCAGTTCTGGAAATTACAAGAACAACGAGATAAATTTGTTCAAAGTGAGGGGAAGTATTGTGGTGTATCTTTTATTATAAAAATTTGTCTTATGTAAGCATTCACAGCACATTTTGATCACACCATCTCTTTGTTTCTGTGGGTCAAACTGAGGACCTCACACATGCTAGGAAAGCAATCACCTGCTAAGCTACACCCACATTCTCTAAAATCTCTTTTAATCAGTAATAGTTCCCCCACTTTGTTTACAATTGTCTATATTATTATACACATTTTGCATTTGCTGGTTGCCTCCCTGTAGTGAGATTTAACTCATTTTGCTGTTGTATGTTTCACACTACTACTCCAAGATCGGGGTTAACTTTTTAGCCACATACTTCACAGATGGCACTGGGTACATCATTAGGACATTTGGGGACACATAATGAATGTCAGATTGTCTCATGTCTAATGATGCTATTATATTATACTCAAGAGCTCTGGGGAGAATAGTTGGAAGTTGAGGATTCTTAAAGTCATAATTTATTTTTTTTTAGGTGTTAGTAGATATTTTAGTAGTTACCTAAGAATACTTCCTCTGAAGCAGAATGCAATCAAACAATAAGATACTGATGTGAGTACAAACTGTTATCTTTTGATAGGCTTTCTTGACAGACTTGCATGAGTGGATTTTTCTTTGGTTTTCTAAGTTTTCCCGTATTTCAAGTTGTGTATGTATTTGCGTGTGTGCGTGTGTGTGTGTGTGTGTGTGTGTGTGTGTGTTTGTGTGTATGGTTTTTCTCTGCATTTTATGTATTTTTCCCCTGTCTTATTTCTTCTCAGAATCTGGAATTAATGCAGGTTAATAAATATCTTTGATGTAATTATAAAATAAAAAAGACATACATTAAAGTAACTTTTATTTAATGTTTATTGTCTTTAATTTTAAAATCAAAGGATACTTTCTCTTGGAAATAGGAAAGCTGAAGGCTTTTTTGTTTTGTTTTTTTTTGCTGCTGATTAATGGTGGGAGTTGTGGGTTGTATCTCCACATAATTTCATACATCTAATTTTTTCTTGCTACTGGCGTCAATGACACATGGTAAGAAAAGTTCTGGGAGCACTGGAAAAATCAAGATTTGCCCTTTTCCTTGGTGGGGATGTTTGGATGCCCAGCATTCAGATACAGACTGCTTCACTTTAGGAGAAGATTAATGTGTTTCACAAAGCAACATGAGAACTGGGTCTAGTTCTCACATGATCCTATGAGTAGATAGTGAGGTCATATGTCAAAAGAAGTGATCTCTGTGTCTCTAGTAAGCATAGGGCAGATGCCTGACCTCCAGTCCTGGTGGTCACATCAGACCTTTCTGCTTCTCCACTGTCAGTTCTATCATTCCTTCCGAACAAGGTCAGAGATACACAAACTATTAAAGTGATGAAATTGAACTGTATGAACAATATAAATAGTCATTTCATTGCTGCCTGGCCACAAGGCTACACATTAGCATATGCTTTTATAGTAGTTTCAGAAATGATGTAATTATTCTTCTGGTGGATCAAAAAGTTACTAATGCTAGTGAAAAAATAAAGGGGGCAGGCAATGAGCCCAATGTAGCTAACACTGTGCCAAGTAAGGGAGGCATGCAGGAAGCCATCTTTCCTTTGGGACAACTGAAACAGTACTGAGTGCATTGCAGTTGCAGTACCTTGAGATAGCCCTGGAGAGTTAACACCTTTGTAAGTGCCATCTATTTCTAGGACTGATGATGACCCTCAAGGATCAGAACTCCATGCCGGATAATGGGAACAGTGCACTGGCCATCACTATAAGCAGCTCCCTTACTCAATGAGCACATGGGACAGACAGCAAGGAGAGTTTTACGTAGCTTGATACTTCCTCTGTGTAGTAGAAATAGAATGTAAAAGCCAGTCAAGAGCTATGAACAGATAATAAATACAGGAATTTTTCACTGTATTCATTTTATGGTTAATAGGTTGCTGAGGTATGGGCTGGCCATTTTAAATTAAGATGGACACATCACATGTTATTCCATGCCCTCTATTCCCAAATACACACACACACACACACACACACACACACACACACACACACTTTGATTTCCTTGATTTGTCCTACAAGCTAGTGCCTGATGTAGATACTGTAAGCACCATGATGCTAAAAGTTACCAATTTCTATCTTGATATGTTACCAATTTATGTCTTGGTGTACTGATTGAAGATCACTATTCTCAGAAAAGTGCAAATAGACATGCTGTCCTTGGCATGGGAGTCAGATCTGGATCATCAGTTGTGGCTTTCCTGAGGGCTTGGGCTGTTACAGGTGGAGAAAAGGCAGCAAAGGCACTGTGGAGGAGGCTGAAAAGATGGCTCAACAGGGAGATTAGGCCCTTTTTTCTTTCAGCACTTCGCTGTGATAGCAGCCACTCAGCCAGCAGTGGCCACCTAGCGTGCAGCAATTTTTGTGAAGAAAAATTAGCCTCCAGCAAGGCAATCAGAAAAGTCAGGATACCAATGAAAAGTCAAGTTCTCATCTGGAAGCCTTACAACAGGTTTCTTAACAGGGATGGGGAAAGTCAAGGGTCAACTTTCTCATTAAGGTTTCCCTAACTGTCATCCTGGGGTGTCTTGCTTATGGAAATTTCTAACATAATCAGATCTAGCAATATCTTGGCTGTGTAGAGTGCTTCTACGGTTCAGTTGCTGTCTTTCTTTGATAAGCCACCATGATCTCGTTATTTTCATGCTAAGAGTCACTGTTGTACCAAGCTTAATTTTCCCACTACCCAATTGCTAGCCATTTTGATGAACACACACCAGTTGTGATTTTGACAAACTTTAATTGCTTACTATGATATTCTTTAAGATTGTATGCTGCTTTTATAGGTGTAAAGGTCCATGCCAGACCACTTTTCTTTCTAAGGGTATGTCTGCTAAGGCTAGCCCTTGCTTCCTGGTGCCTACACACAAAACTTGGCTCTACACTCTGAAGATAAGACTGATTCTCATACTTTGCTCTCAGGAAAAGATGGTATGTGGGTGTAGTGATGGAAGAAATCTGGTGGAAAGCCAGGTTATAGCTATGCTGAGAGTTACACTCCCACACTGGAAGCCACGATAAGATCATAGATCCCAGCACAGCTTCCCTTGACCTATATGTCACTTGTCCAAAGAATGACCCAGATGAAAATCACTTAGCATGATTTGCAATTTTAGGCCAAAAGGCGATGCTATTCAGATGACAGAGCAGTGGCTATTGAGGTTTCTTATGTCCTCACTGGAGCTGTCAAGATTTCTGCTCTGGTTCCTACAGGTTTGCTCAGTTTTAAATAAGAATTTTGGCAAATGCATATTGGATAATCCTGATTTTCAACACTTCCTATGTAGAATGGTCAAGTAAATTAATCTCCACGCTGAAGCTGTTTTATTCTGCTCTTTTCTTTAAAAAAATACATATATTTTTTTAAAATAGCAGTTTTAGGTTCACCACAAAATTGGGAAAAAGACACAGGAATTTCTCATGCATACTCCCCCCCCATCAACATCCCTGCCAGAGTTTTATGGTTTTTCAGTTGATGAACCCATAGAATGTATCCCTCTCATCCAAATCCCATCATTTACATTAATGCTCATTCTTGGTGTTGTATATTTTGTGGGCTTGATAAAAATGTAAAAGGCATGTTTTCACCATTGTCATGCCATCCAAAATGATTTTGCAGTTGTAAAAATCCTCTGTGCTCTCTCCTCTGACATGTTTACTTTCTCTACAGTTTTAACTTTTCCAAAAATTTCATATAGTTGAAATCATATAGTATGTGGCCTTTTCATTTTGGCTTCTTTCACTTAGTAATATGCATTTGTCTTTTCAAACTATGCAACTTGATAGCTCATATCTTTTCTGTGCCAAAATAATTCGAAATCATCTGCACTGCTATAGATTATCCATCCATCTCATGTAAGAAATCTTACTTCCTTTCACGTTTTGGAAATTAGGAGTTAAGCTGTTATAAAAATTTGTGTTTGCACAGATTTTTGTGTGAATCTCATTTTTCAACTCTTCTGGGTAGATACTAGGAGTTTACTTGCTTGGTCATATTACAAGTATATATTTAATTTTGTACCAATGTACCAAACTGTCTTCCCAAGTAGCTCTATTTTTTTTAAATAAACTCTACATTATTTTTTCAATGTCAGCTCAGCATCATCTCCCAGTGGATCCTCCCTTCACCAAGTGAGAAGTAACAATTTCCTTTCTACATAAAATTGCCTTGAAAGCATTGTTCTGTATTTAGCTATTTCATTGTAGGTTTCACCTCCTAGATTATTAGCTGCCAGAAGTCAAATTCAAGTGTTATTTATGTTTACATCAACAGACCCTGAATAGTACCAGGTATATACATTGTAGATAACCAGTCAATGGTTGTAAATTGAACAAAACTGTGATCAAACAAAACTGATTGAACAAATCAGTGAGGTTTGACAGCTTGATATTATTAGTTTAAGAAGAAAGAAAACATGAAATTTCAAACCCAACACAAACCACCTTACCTCACCTCTCTCATAATCTCATCTCCAATTTATAAAGATTTGATTTGACTGTGGACAAACTGACACTGAAATTTGAGGATTAAGTCTGTATGATTCTGCAGAATATCTACGAATGCACTCCTGGATTGGCTCGAATAGATTTATCTTAAGCTGAAAGCTACCTATTCATGTACAAATGCCTGGGAAAACATCAAGTATTTTTCAGATCCCTGTAATGAGTTCACCTTAACAACTTCCTCATGGAACTTGGCTTTGTAATCCATGGAGATGAAAATGGTTCAATGAAAGTTAAAAACCAGCATTTATACCCATCTCTTAACAATTTAGCACAAAATGTTGACCTTTACTCCAAACTGCTGCAGGGGAAGGGAGGTGAATAAGGTATCATTGAGCTAGGTATAATGGGATTCAATGCAAAGGCCTTATTAAAAGAAGTCAAGCAGGATAACTGATAACAACTGGCCAACTGTTGTCATGTTTGCACATTGGTGTGTAGCACACATACTGACCTCTTAAATTGTCTTATGCAAAAGGATTTCAATTCATGTTTAGCTTGATCTTTCAGATTCTTCTAGATGGTTGAAAGATGTTCCATATTCATCTAACATGATAATATACATAATCTGTCGAAGCAGAAACCTGTCATTGATGCTGTGTTTAGCTAAAGTGATGTAAGTTAAGCAGTGAACAAGGATGTGTGAAAATCCATTAAAGAGCTAAAAAAAGTTGATTAAAGCCTTTTAGATGATCTTAAAATGTGTTATATATTCTCAATTCTTGGAAATGGAAGGCTACTCAGATATTATCAGTGGAAGTCACTTGCCCCTGGGAAATGTCATAGAACACTCTTTCGAAGCTCCTAGGTGTCCGTAACTTCTTTTGAAGTTACCTGAGAAAGGAGATTCCATTATCAACATTAATCAATTGCAATTCTTCATAGCCTCTAATAAAAGAGCTCTCTTACAGTGCAACATTTTTCATATTGTAATTTCTCCACTGAGTTCTTTTTCACAGTAAAGAAGAAATAAATCATTCATTATTCTCTTGTTTCATAACAAATACATAGATTTTCCCAGTCACCGTCAGGCATTGTTTCATTCTTTTCTCACTTCCAGTGCACAAGTCCTGCTTATCATTGTCACAATCTCTGCCACATTCCCTAGCCTCACAAATACCAATCTTTGGAGCACATCATTTTTGGGTACTCAGAAGACTGAACAATGAGGTGGTGACTTACTTGGTCTTAGAGTGCTATATAGGCAGTGCTTTCTCCAGATTGGATTTACTCTAAGAAATCAAAATTTATTTAAATACCTCTATTGTGACAGATATAGCTCTGATTTATGTAGCCTATGAGCTCTGTTTACTTTAGATCATTCTGCCAAAGTAACATTAATTCACACTGGGCAGGTAGAGGAACCAGAACAGGTTCTTACAGAGCTTTAGTCCCTAAAGATGCTGCAACTGTGACAAAAAAGTCAGCAGGTGAAGACAAAGTCAGCAGGTGAAGACTTCATACGTGTTTGTTCTACCCATAACTTTTGACAGGATTTCCTCTGTCACCATCAAAAGATATAAAGATCATCAGAGCAAATCTACTTAGTTGCTCAGGAGACAGATTTTGATCCAGAAAAAAAATTTCAGCTCCACAAATCATTAACACTGGGATTTTGAGAAAGTTAACCTATCAGCTATGAGCTTGTGTTTCTTTATTTACAGTATAGGACTATTAATGGATGTTACAATACTTTTACAAGGATTAGGTGAGATAATATAAGCAACATGCTTAGCAAATGATAGCTATTGTTGTTCTATACAGTTGCTTATTTGCTACATAAGAACTTTCTAGGAATGGAGTTCCTTGTTTCCTAGTGATATCAAGTGACTAAGATTTTCTTTTGTCTCAACTGAAACCAGACCAGTTTCAGCTAGCACATTTTTTTTAGTAGACTTTTCCCCATGTCTTCTAGGGACAATAGAAAATTTGTTCCAGAACTTTTAAATAAAATATTTGAATAAAAAATATAGGCAACTCACAAACTATATACACATTATCCCAGGTAGTCTGTAATTTTATCCTTGAAACCATGTTACTTAGGACAGAAGAAGTCTCAGAGACATCCTGGAAAATACTTGGAACTGTCAATGGGGAGCCTGAATTTGAACATAAGCTTTTTTTGTCTTTCTGCTCTGCTATGCTGCCCAAGACACATGCTCTGTCTTTACTCGTGCAGCATAAATAATGTCATCTTTTTTATTTCAATTGATTTAATCCATAATCAATGTGATATGCAATCCCTAACTGATAAGGAAAATAAGTCAAGACCATCATTTTAGAAATATGAACCATGTTACCTACTTCTATTGCTTTCTGGAATGAGTAATAATGATGATGATACTAGGTTACATGTGAAAACTGTATTTTAGGTATGAATTGAAAATAAACCAATAATTAGTAATAGGTCCATATTACTTTAGATTCGGTTAGTTTTGGCCAGGTTAGAAGGATTAATATTTTCTATATAATCACACCTTTACTTACAGGTTTAACAGGCTTTAACTCAACATGTTCCTGGTAGTAGGAGTGTAAATCAAGCCGACCTATGAAATCAACTGAAAATATAACAGCCCAAGATGAATAAATGTATAAATAAAAATACACGTGATACTAAATGCTTAAGTAGAATACATAAAAATAAAAAGCATCTTTTCTTACAAAGTGGAAAATGTGTATTTAGTGAAAAGCACTACTAAAATATTTTCAGTGCTCAAAAAAATGGGGAAATCTTAAAAAACACACAAATAAGCTGAGTTCTTGGGATCAGAAAAATCATGGTTATTAGTGGCCTCATTAAAAAATGAAGTAACGTTAAATAGTGTGAGATTTTTAATAACACATTTGTCAAGAGGCAAACAGACATGCTTTTCCTCCCATCTGCCAAAAGATATGCTTTCTCTTCTTGTTACCAGAATCCATATTTTTCTTAAGATTATTGTATTCCTTGTATCATTAGAAGGCTTTTTTTTTTTGGTGCCAGGGATTGAACTGACAACCTCACGTTAGCTAAACAGACACTTATGCTGTTAAGCTAAACCCTCAGCCCTTAAAAGCTTTGGGAAACTGACATACTCTGTCTCTATGTCTTTTGCTCTGGAGCTACCCCTTTGAACAGGCATCCAACATTTTCAAAGTTTTAATGTTCTCCCTGATAACATGAAATTTGCCTTGTAGTCTTTATTGATTTGGTAAACTTTTTTTGGTAATAGTTGTTCTATTTTCTGTTTGATCAAAGCCTTGATTTTTTTTGTTGGTGTTAATTCTTTAATTTGTTTCTCCTGTTCTATTGTGGCCCATTAAAGTACTAAATAGCTTAATTCTGACTTTGAGAGTATCATATATGATAGTACTTTAATATTAAGAGGTATATAGTCACATGGGAACACAGAATTCTCAGGATGTGTGGCATGTGTGTGCACATATGCTAAGATACACAATATGTAAATATTGTATCACACTCTCAGTTTAAGGAAGCCATGTCAGCAAACTAAATGAGCCTAGAACTTCTATTGAATTATTGGCTAGTTATAACCCATTCTAGTCAATGTCTGACACACTTCATCCTCTTACTCTCTTTGAAGGACCTGAAGTAAGGCAAGGACTATGGAAGCTTCCTCAGCTTGATAAACAGACAAACTTCTGAGGCCTACAGGGTACCCAGCGACCAGGTCAGATCATCTCCAGGCCACCCCCTGGACAGCAGATGTCCCTGAGGCTGATCTTTTTTTTTAAAGCAAATCAGGTAATTTAGCTCATTACACTTTAAGAAAAGTAGCAGTGAGAAGAGAATCAACCAAGACCCTGAGAACTGTTTCTCTCTGAAGATGAACAATGCATTTAAGTAGTCAGTTCGGACTAAGTTTTTAGATTAGATGTTTAATAAAATATCCTTTTACTCTGTTGATACCCAGTAGGATTCTAGAAAGGAAACCACATTGATCATTTTCCAATATCAGACTCATCACAAAATATCCCAGTTTAGTTGTTCTAAAAATTGCATGGACCAATAATTTACAGAACTCTTTTGGAAGTTAAAGAGGTTTTAAAAAGACATAAATTTATATATAACATATGTCTGTTGTGTGTGTGGTATGTAGATGTATGTATATGATGTGAATAAAATGGTCCAATTTGAAAGTTATAATCAAAATCAAATTATATCTAAAATATATAAATATGTATCCACATACTTTAAAGCAAAATAAAAAGAATACATAAGGCAAAATATGTCTCTACATTGATAATTTGAAAATTAAAATGTTACATTAGCAGATTTATTTTCAGTATAAATTTTACAACTTTAATCTGATCTTTAATCATCTCTGCTTATAAGGTATTATTTAAGAGTAGGGAATATACATTTAATATTAATTATTTTTATAACTATCTTAAAAGTTTCTTGGAATAGTTAGTAAATTTGAAATTACTGACATCTAAAGTGACTTGTAGACCATGATATCTTTGAGAAAATAATTTTCCCTACCATTGCCAGTGATCACCGAAAAACTTTTGTGAAATGAATGGTATGTATAATGTACTTTAGTCCAAATGTTTTCAAGGTACTGTCATTCTTCCCCAATGTGAGTATTTTTTTGGAAAAATTTTAAGACAAAAGTAACATAAGTTTTATCTATTTGTGATTGTTGTTGCCAAATATGGAGACTATAAAATTTTATACCCTTTCTAATTGTAGGCATTTTCATTCTGTTGAAGTGTATAAATTACTCTGATCAAAAATAGGAGCTTCATTATTTTTTTTCTTCCTGAAGTCAAGATATTTTGAAAAGAAGTCATAAAAATAAGAAACCACATCTTGTGAAAACTTGCTCTTATTTTTGTCCTCAATTTGCTTTTTTGAAGATACAATTCAATATTTTTTCTTTTTAAAGTTTTGAAATATTACAGTTTACTAAAAGCTTTGAAAGCAGGTTTTTTCAGGTGTTTTGTTTGTTGAATGACCTATTTAAAATTTTCAATTGATCTTGAATATAACTCACTTAAAATGTAGAAGATTCATGATAAAAATACTCATAACCATTGTAGGAAACAAATTAATTTACAAAGAGTTTGTCAAAGCCTGATGGATGAAGACTAAGAGAGAGAATGTGTTCTTCCATGCTGATTTTGTTTTTGCTTTCAACATTAGCATCATTATAAAACTGTTTATTTGCTCAACACACATGTATACATATGTATATAAAGTTTGAAAACTAGTTTCTATTCATTGGTAAAATATGGCTGCTCTAGTGTCATGCAATTATAAATTCCAAATATATTTCTGCTTCATAAATTTCTTAAGTTACTAAGAATACTGCATATTTGGATTTTTTTAAACTCATGTTGTGATCCACTAAAATTTGTATTTATTTCCATGAAATAAATAATTTGTGTTTAATATTTAATTCTTAAATGAGCTACCGACATTTAAAATGATTCCAGGGTTTTATCTTGGACAAAATGAATATCTAAAAATTTGCTTTGATGCCATGAATTAGATTTTTGAAGATTAAGTAAATATAATTATTGAAAATAAAATTTCTTGAAAGCATGTGATGAAATGATATGCTACAAGACTTATAAATGAATGTTACTATTTTAACCCTGAGAAACTCTCCACTAATGGACCAACATCCTGACCAGAGCTTCAGGGAGTTCCCTCTCAAATGCCTCAGCAATGGTCTGCTCTGAAGAGTTGCTGGTGACAGCGAGAGTCTCAGATACTGGTCCTGCATCCACCTGGGGGCAGATGGAGCAGACCATCTCCAGCACCTCTGCGCAAGCTCCTTTCTTTTCTTCTTTAAGTGATCAGTCTGCAATCTACTCTTGAAAGGAAGGTGCCTGCTATGTTGCACCTTTTAAGCTTTGTATAAATGAGAATTGTTGCTGATTTATCCACTTGGTGAAATGAGAATTCTGTTTATTGAACATGTATTTCTTCTGCCTTGGTGTGACAAGCGCGAAAGTATGGTCTGCTTCGTATTTTAGATCCCGCTTCTATAACTATTAATAATAATATTTAATTTTGCAAACTAAAAAGAATTCTAGGACAAAGTCTAAGCCATAAGATGCTATGGTTACCTGTGATATTTCAATCAATTAGGACATATAGTCATCCTAGTCAGGGCATTAAAAATGAGTTTCACTTTTTCTGCATATTGGAATTCTGGTGTGATATAGAATCTTTGGAAGGCTCTAAAAATAAGAAACCACATGCAGGCAAAACTTAAGTTATCAAGGTTTCAGAACTAGACAAGTCTATAAGAAAAAATCTATTAAAGCTGAATAATTAAATAAATAAAATTGATAAAAATATGAAAAATCCTTAATGGATGAGACATAGCAATGAGGTTTTTGGCAACTCAAGCCCACAAATGCACAAGATGATTTTGTTTTTATATGTTAAAAAAAATAGTTCATTAGGTGTGTGCCAAAACTTTCCAGTAGCTAGAGTGGACAACAATTCAAAGGTATAAATTTAGATATGAATGAAGAGTGAAATTTGGGAATACATGCTTTACTTAAAAAAATAATTTCAATGTCAAATATTTTCAAAAGTGATTTTTTAAAGCAGACTTAGTGATGCATGCCTACAATCCCAGCACTCTAGAGATTGAGGCAGGAGATTATTTAGTTCAAGGCCAGGCTGGAATATATGGTGAGATCCTGTCTCAAAAAACCAAATAAATAAGTAAATACGCAAACAAACAAACTAAATTTTAAAAAGAGACTTAGCAACAGATCTGAAAACACATCTGTGGGAAAGACTATCAGCTTTTGAATAATTTTGCAGAAAAATAGTCATATTACACTGAAAAGAAAGTAAAGCAACTATGCATTTTCAGGAGAAAGAAGAGTCTGAATTAAGATTTATTCAGTGGAAATAATGGATACATTTCAATGAAACATAAGAAGTACTAGAAAAGACATGCACAGAATTCCAAAGATATTAAAAAGGGAGGGTTAAAATGGAAATGCTTGTGAGGTCTTCAATTGTATAGCAACAGAACCATACGGAATCTGGTCTAAAAAGTCCAGGAATGGCAGAGGTAGGAACGTTGAAGGAAGCCTGTAGGACAGTGAAGGTGAACTTTGTGTACTCTGGTTATTAAAGCCTGCAAGTGTGAGACATATCTTAGGAAAAAATTAACACGATTACAAGGCTCATCTACTATTCAGAAAAGGCAGTCTGAATGCACTGCCCAGAGTGTTTTTGTCACTGCCACTATCAATGTCATTTTTGGAAACTGAGGTGTTATTATCAAAACTCTCATGGGTAAAGTCTGACCAGAAAAGCTTTTTCTTTGCAGCCCTTTCAAAAGCACTTCCTGTGCCTGTTCCCAAGGCAAGCCATTTCCCGTAGAAATAATACTTGTTGTAACTGAATATCTTTGCTGCTATTCACTCTAGCCATCAAAAACTTCTGACAAGGTTTTCTACCCAACTAAAGGAGCTACAGACCTATTCTAGATATAAAGCCTCATTTATTGTCTACATAAAAACTTGTTTTCTACTTATCAAAACATATAATCAATTACAACTTCTCCATTCATCTATA